CTGGAAATAATCCCTCATTGTCCTTTCTCCTCTGATTTGAGTCTCTGATTTGCTTGTTGCCAGACCCAGGAAGGGCAGGTATCTGCTTGCCCTTTCTGCCCTCTGCAGATCTTCCTCAGCTTACAGTGGGGTGACCGCCCCCCCTCGGTAAATCCATCATGAGTTGAAAGCACTGTAAACTGAAAATGCACTTATCACCCCTAACTTACTGAACAGCACCGCTTAGCCTGGCTGCCCTCAACTCCCAGAACCCGACCAGGAGCCCGCAGCCGGGCGGCGCATCCAACACAAAGCCCGTTTCATAGTGAAGTGTGGGCTGCGTCGTGTACTTTGCTGAATACTGTGCTGAAGGCGAAAATCAGGACGGTCGTATGGGGACAGCTCAGTCGTCGGCACGTCCGTCATGGACCCTCGTGGTCGCGTGGCTGCCCGGGGGCTGCGGCTGCTGAGCAGCACAGGACAGGGTCCACCTCAAAATCCAAGGTCTGTTTCTACGGAACGTTTGTTGCTTTCGCTGTGTCGTAAAGTCCAAACATCATAACTCGGGGACCGTCTGAACTATATTTGGTAGTTTTCAGGCAGTGGTTCTCATTTGCCTAGTCTGTCAGGTGTCCTGGGGGTTTTGGAAGATGCCGCCTGCCACACCAGGTGAACCAGAGCCACCCCACGCAAGATGGGGCCCGGGCACCAGTGGCTTGGTGAGAAACCTTGATTCTGATGCAGCAGGAGGACTGGGCTTTTCAGGCGAAGTGTCTCGGGGGAGTCTCACGCCTTTGTGAGTGGACAAGGGTTTGCTGGCCCCTTTGTGCCAGTGAGGCTGGGTCTAAGTGACAGCCTCCACCATCCAGCTGAAAGCCAGGGTCCACATGTCCCACAAACCAGGACGATGGCCTCGCTGGGCCTCATGCCCCGCAGCTAGAGAGGCACGATGCATCAGTTGCAGGGTCTCCCAGGCGGAGGCGGAGGGACACTGCGGCCCCTGGGTCCCAGGAAAGCTCGAAACAGCCCCTGACAGTGACATCTCTTTCCTGGAGACACCGCCAGGCCTGGCTGCTGTGATGGCCGGTGTCCACCAGAGGGCGCCATGGCCTGGCGCCGCTCAGCTGGGCTCGGCTCTGTGAACCCAAATGCTTTTTAATTGAAAATTTTTTTAATTCAAAAAGGATTTGCTGTTTGTACGCGAGTGCAGGTTTTCCTTATGCAAGAGACTAATGTCTTGAGTAAACAGATCCGGGCCCAAATCCACCTTCAAAGGTACTCACTGTTTGCCCAAGGGAGTGAAAGGCCTTCCAGAAGCGGCCCTAGTCTCTTGGGCAAACACTTTGGGGCCAGCAATCCCGGGCAGAAGACAGTGTCTGTGGGAAGGGTTATCCGCAGCCTAAGGGGGATTATGTCTGGGGACATATGTTGAAATTTCATTTGGGGAGTTAGAGAAAACAAGAGGTGGGGGTGGGGGGGGCGGATAATGCTTTACTCCAGCCAAGATAACCTAAAAAGGGAAAAGCTCCCAAGGGTAGGAGTAGGGGGGACAGCAATCTGTGCAGGGCACCAAGTCCCAGCCCTCTGGAGGGGGGAAGGGGGAGGGGCGTGCGCAGGCTGTGAATCCGGAAAAGGCAGCGTGTGCACTTGGGACTTCTGGCTGCTTCTGAGAGGTGCCTTCTGTCTGCTGCCCCAGGCAGGCATCTCCCGGGCTTGGCCTCTGCGCAGCCGGAGTAAAGCACCCCCAGCCTCCCTCCCTCCACAGCTCCCCACAGCCCAGCCCTAATGTCTCTAGCCCTGCTTTCTGCCCACTCCCACCCACATCCACCCCTTCGTCCCCTTGGTTGGGTCACAGCATTGTCTGAACTGGTCCCCAGATCACCTGGAAGTTGGTTGAAAACGCAGAATCTTGGGCTGTACCCCAGACCTTCTGAGTCAGAATCTGCCTTTTACCAAGACTTCCAGGGACTTTTGTGCAGTAAAGTGGGATCAGCCTGCTTCAGCTCTTTCCCTGGGTGCCCCCCTCCCCACCCCTGAGGGGCAACCGCACCCGCCACACTGACAGCTCTCCAACCTCCACCCACCCAGAACTGCTCCCGCGGAAGCCACTATCCCCAGCCCGTGTCCTCCCTCTGCTCTCCTCCCTGGCCCTCGCCTCCAGGTCCTCCACCCCAAGTACGAGGCCTATCCTCACCCTCTGAGCCTGTGTGCTTCTCCCGAAACCTCTCTCCATTGGCACTCCAGATACCCTCCGCCCCCGAACCCCCCTCCTCCGGCAGTGCTTGCCATTCCCAACCTTTGATCCCTGGGTCCCTAGCTCCCCAGCCAGGCAGCTGCCCCTGAGCCCCGGGTAGAAATGCACTCATGCTGTCCCCCAACCGCCCCTTCCTCCTGTGTTGCCCATTCGAGTTAATGGTGCTGGCCTGCCCCTGCTCTGCTGCCCTCATGGGGCTCTCGCCTGACCCCAGGGAGCCCAGCCAGGGGTGAAGAACGGGGTGGGCGCTGTTGGAGCCCAGGGAACCTTTCCTGCCATGATGCACCCGAGCAGCCACCAGGTGGCGGTATTGTCTCAGACTTTGCCCCACGGCCTCCTCTGGGGCTGCTCCACTGGGCCAGCCTCCTAGAGCTGGAGTCCAGCCAGGGCCCATGCCCTGGTCATCAGGGAGCAGGAAAGGGAACAGGTTGGGAGCCGCTCTGATAGATTTTCCCAAGCCAGCAAACGTGCAGCGAGTGCTTGCCTGGTGACTGTGGCACATGAGCCCTTAACCTGCATAGGTCACCCCATCCCCACAGCCAGCCCTGGAGATAGACTGTGACCCCACTTTTTTATTGAGGTGTAATTGACATAGGACATTAGTGTCGGGTGCACAACATAATGAGTCCATATTTATATAGATGCAGAATGATCATAACACATCTAGTTAACATCTGTCACCATGATTACAAAAGATTTGCTCTTAACAACTTCCGAAACGGAATGCAGTATTAATGGTCATCGCCCTGCCGTCCATGACACCCCTAGGACAAGTTTTATAGCTGGAATCTGTACCTTTCGACCCCCTTCGCCCATCCAGACCCCCTCCCCAGGCAAGCCCCTGGCTGGTTAGATTCCGCATATAAGTGGGGTTCCATGGTCTTTGTCTTTCTCAGACTCACTGTACCTCATGTAATGCCTTTGAGGTCCATCCGTGCTTTGCAAATGGAAAGATTTCACTTTTTATGGCTGAGTAAGAGCCCATCATGTCTCTACGCCACATCTTCTTTATCCCTTCACCGGTCATGGGACACCTAGGGTGTTCCCGTGTCTTGGCTCTTGGAGAGAATGCTGCAGTGAATGTGAGGGTGCAGGAGTCTTTCTGAGTTAGTGTTTTTTGTTTTCTTTGGATAAATTCCCAGAAGAGGAATTGCTGAGTCCTAGGGGAGTCCTAGTTCCAATTTTGTGAGTCTCCCCCACACCGTGTTTCATGGCAGCTGCGCCCGTTTGCGTTCCCAGTAGGGCCCAAGGGTTCCTTTTCTCCACGTCCTCGCTAACACTTGTCAGTTCTTACCCTGGCCCAGTTCAGAGATGGGCAAAGACCTGCCTGAGGTCACCCTCCAAAGTCAAGTCCTCCCCACCCGCCCCTTCTGGTGATGGACAATGTCTGTAGGGTCCCCCGTCCTATCCGTGTTGCGGGGCCCTTTGATCTGGGCTCAGGGGCCGCCTGAGATTGTTCCCTCCTGTGGTTCATACAGGGATGGGATGGGCTGAGCCCAGGTCTGCTTCTCCCTGTGTAGGGTCAACCCTGTGGGCCCCTCCGGCAGGGGCGGCCGAGGACACAGTGCGCTGGGTGCCTCCTCACCATTTCTACTTGAGGGGAAAAACCTTCAAAGGTCTGCGGCTGCCCCTCATCCTTGACCAACTGCTGAAGCCCTCAGCACTGAGCTGTTCTCCTGCCACGGCAGGTTGACTGGGGGCTTCCTCTCATCCTGCCCTCAGCGTCCCTGAGGCAACAGCTGTTTAAGCCCAGGCAGCCGGCTTTGCTCTGCGTACAGGGAGGAGCCCTTGTTAGGGCAATTCTACTGCTAAAGAGTCTTGAGATGGGATTAAAAATGTTGAGCCCACCTGATATCCTCTAAACTCCTCAGTCCTAAAGCCAGGGGGCCACGCGGCTGCTGTGGCCTATAGTGTGCTGGGCCTGGCCCGCAGCTCTGCTGCAGGCACCCCCCCCCCCCCCCGCCCCGGGCCCGCTCTGCGGCCAGGCCCACCAGCCCCACATTTGGAAGGTGCCATCCCTCCTGGCCCTCGGGGTGAGCTGCAGGCCTTCCCCCTTTCCCTCTGCAAGTACCTCTGAATTTCCATCACACTTGGAACCTTCCTTTACATGTGTCCGTGACGGAGAGCCAGGTAAGCTTCGGTCTTCAGCATGAGGTGGGGCAGGGGACAGGTGTGCCCCTCCAGGGACCATTCTGGCCCAGGCTGGTTGGCCACTGTGGGGTTTTGCCCTCCTGGAGACTCGAGCCCTCGTCAGGTATGGAGGACAGTCACACAACCTTCAGGGACCAGCGCTGGGAACTCAGGAGAGTACACACACGTGTGGGGTGCTGCCTGCCCCTCCCCGGGGTCACCTAGCCTGTCAGCAGGCAAGCAAGGAAGCACTGGGACCAAGGGTCCCCCCGGCCTGGTGGCTGTGGCTGGCCTCAGGTCAGGTGAGGGATGGCGTTCCAGAGCGGTCTTTATCCCGCCTGCGACCCCTCTCCTGGCAGGCAGCCCGGCCCACAGCCAGCTCGTGGCTTCAGGCCCCATGGTCCCTCCTTGCGGAGAGCAGAGCAGGGACTGGGAATAGAATCCGTCATCAGGAACTGGGGGCCACCTACAGCCACAGAGGTGCGTCCCCACACACACCCCCACACCACACACTGCACCGAGGGCGCACGCTGGGCAAGGTGGCCCTGGGTCCCGCAGGCCGGGCCTGGGGCTGAGGAGGGGCTGCTCTGCTCTTCTCATGCACTGACCCTGCTTCTCTGTCCTCTCCCTCCTCCAGTATGAATACAGCTTCCGCACAGAGCAGAGCGCGGCCGCCCGGCTCCCGCCCAGCCCCACCCGGTGTCAGCAGATCCCCCAGTCCTGAGGGGCCGGCCACCACCCTGTCCCCATGGGGAGAAGACGCAGCTGCCCAGACTACTGAGCGCCCCTCCCTCGCCCGGGCCTTCCTGCCTACCCTTCCCTACCGGCCCACCGTGGGGCTCATCCAGGAGACTCTGGGCAGCTGGGCTCTGACCTCCTTGGCCTGCGGCTTGCCTAACGGGACACCCCCGCCTCCCTGGGGACACTGTTCATAATCACCACTAATCTGTGTTTGCTGTAGTGACCAACGGCTCTTAACGTGTCTGTGTGACGACCGGCCCTCCTACAAATGACCCTACCCACCCCGGGAGTCACCCCGAGGGCCCCCGCACGCGTGCTGGAGCTGCCCAGTGACGCCGCCGGCTCCCTTTCCTCCTGACTGTTGCCTGCCACAGAGCTATCCGCATCCTTCTGGAAGGCCCAGTGTGGGTGGCAACTGTGCACAACCCCCTAGGCCTCCCAGAGGGCCCCAGACTCGGGGCTGCCGTGGAACAAGTCCCTCACGCCAGCGGCAGAGAGCGCCCTGAGCATCTCACGGCGACGCGGACACAGGGGAGGAAGAAGCCTGTGGTCCCCGAGTGACCCTGAGCCCGGGTTCCTGCCCACTGGCAGCCACGCCTCAGTCTCCACCCCCAAGTCACACACTGGACACACCAAGGTCGGGGAGAGGACGCCTGGTGGCCCGCACAGAGGACTTGCCTTCGGGGTGAGAAGGCGGAGGGACCTGGTGCTTGCTCGGAGGGCAGTCACTGCCCAGGACACTGTGCTCCCCCGCCACACCCCCCATTCCTCCCAAAGGGCTCATCTCTGTAACGCCCATGTGCCAACTGCCACGCCAGCTGCCTCGGCCCCATGCCCTGCCCCAGGCACAGGCCTGCCACAAGTGAGGAGACGCTCAGCCAGTGGCCTGCCCCAGAGGCACACGGGGACACCGTCAGCCTGGTCCTCAGAGCCAGGCGGCATCGCGACGCACTCCGCAAACAGCAGTGTTTGTTTTAGAAAGCCCGTCTGAGCCAGGCCACTGAGCTGGGACCAGTGTAGACACGTCTACCACAACTGGCCAGCAGACTCGCAGGCTCTTCTCACCACGCCGGCCGCCGAGCTCAGCTCCACGTGTGTTTGCCGTGAGAACAGGGCTGTCCCCGTCCCTGGGGGCTCAGGCCCTCCCCCCGGTGGCCTACCTGGTCTAGCTCTCAGGATTTGTCCTGAATCAATTCCACAGAATGTTGGTATCTCCCCTCTGGGGGTGGGGGGGTGGGGTCCCTGATGGCTGGAACTTTGGACGTGAGGCTTGCCATGTGTCTGGAGGCTGGGGAGGGGGCATGGAGAATGGGGAGGGTCCCCCAACACGAAGAGAGCACGGGAGAGCCACGGCCACGGCCAGGGATGGAGCCTGCCTCCCCAGAGCGCCTGGGACGTCTCAGAACGGGCCAACACCGTGAGGAGAGTGGCCGCCGGCTAAGCAGTGGGGCGGGCCAAAATACCTCATGTACCTTCATCCGGGCCGCCACCTCGAGCAGCTCCACGCGCCCCCGGGTCGCCCGTTGATTTTCATCCAAAACCTCCTGATCTCTGTGCATTAGAGAAGTGCTCGCCTCTGCCTGCCTCTGCCCGGACCTGAGGATGTCCCCGGTGAGGCCGGCCTTCCTGGGCCCCCACAGCAGAGTGGGTGGAACCCCCAGGGGCCACGGGCTGGAGCCAGCAGTCCGTCTGACGGCCTTCTGGGACTGGTGCTTAACCAGGAGAGGACAGAGCTGTTGAACTGGTCTCAGATGCACCCACTGAAATAAGCTGGTCGTGTTTCTGGGGAGTTGGAACCCCGTGTCTACTGCTGCGTTTTGGGTGGTTCGTCCAAAACCAAGTGACCCATGTGACCCGAAGCCCAACAGAGAGGGGCGACTCCCATTACTCCTCTTCCCTTGGTTCGTGCACTTTGCTCATGGCCTAATTGTGAGGTTGTCATCCGACAGGTAGCACCTGGTGGCCCTTGTCCCTTAACTGACAAGCAAGCATTTTAGCGGAGAGTTCCAGAGACAAGCATGTGGGAGCTGGAGTCCAGGTGCATGAAGGCAGAGCTGGACAGGGAGGGGGGCTGTCCAGGAGGAGGCGGGTGCTTGCCCTCCCGAGCCCCTGGGGCTGTCCTGCAGCCAGGGGACCGATGGAGGGCAAGGCCGGGCTGCACCAGGAAGAGGGCAGACCTGCTGGGCTCAGCCGGGCTGCGGCCACCTTGACAGCACCATAGACGGAAGCTACGTGTGACAGTGACTGTACCCCTGAACCACAGCTTAAACAAGTTATGCAACGACCGTGGTAGAGAAAGGCTGGTGTCAGTGGTAGACTGTAGGCTGCTCCTAGCCCCCTTTCCTTGCCTTCTGAGAGGTGGGGGGCAAGTGAGCATGTGACGGTAGGCTGGGGGGTGCGCGTGGGGGCTCATGAGGACCGCAGGACAGCCGGACCCCTGGCTCATGCCTGGGAGGGAGCGTTTCTTCACCAACCCTGGGGCCACGTGGGGAGGGGAGGATGAGGGTTCTCGGAAGCATGAAGGGCAGCGGCCTGGCCCTCATCCCCCCACCCCCCAGCACTCCCAGCTTCCATCCCTCCTCAAAAAGACTAACCAGAGCACAGTTTTCTTGTTGTCTTTCCTTTTCCCCCTGAAAATGCACAGTCTCCCTCCAACGCCCTTGGAAATGGCACAAAGGTAGTAAGGAGTAAGTTGTTGGCTCCATGTTCACTCGCAAAGTCAAAGTCGTATCAAGGCTTTTTTCCCATCCTGAGTCCAGGAACTAATCTGGGCCACAACCCTCTCCCTCTTGGAGAGCTGGACAGCCGGGTGGGTGGCGGAGGAAACAGGTTACAGCCCCCACACCTGTCTCCCCAGTCAGAGGAGGGCAGCTGCTGGCGCCTCCCTCGCTGGGAGTCCTGACCGGGGTCCAGCTGGCGGCAGGAAGACCCCGACAGTTGCCTCCCCGGCCCCGTGTCCTGCGGAAAGGCGGCGGGAACAGGGCCAGCAAGGACTCCCCCGCGCCAGAACCCCTGCTCTTCGCCAGCCCCTGGGCCGGCACGGTAAGCACATTTTCTCCTGTTATTCCCCTTAAAAAACAAACCCCCAGAAGTGGATGTTCGTCACTCCTTGTTACAAAGGAAGCAGCGGAGGCTTGTCTGTGAGCACAAGGGGTCAGTGGCAGAGATGGGATCCAGAGCCGAGTCTCACCTCGGAGCCACCCCGCCAGGGGGCCCGTCCCAAGCACATGCCTCTCTCTGACCCTTCTGTCTCCTGCCCTGTGAAGACTTCCCAGCACCACCAGCCTCCCTGGTTCTAGCATGACTGGCCGCCCCTCCAGGGTGCCATGGTGCTCAGCCTGCCCGGTCGCTTCACCCTGACGACGAGGGCCCCCCGGACCCCCGGGGAGCCTGAGGGCCAAGCAGGGCCTTGACCCGGCAGCCATGTGCCTGCTCAGGGGGGCAGAAGCCGAGCTCATTTGACTCAGGCCACGATCCACCGGGACCGCAGGGCCTTGGGGCCTGGAGGCGGCCACCGCGTGCCCACCCCCCAGCCCGGCACCCCGGCACCCCTGGGTCGGCCCCTCTGTCTTCACCTGTTCCGAATGCGGCCCAGGACTGGCTGTCACCACCCCCAGCAGGGCTTCCGTTCTCCCAGCAGAAGGCTCGGGAGCTGCCCTGGGACCGCACGGGGCCTGGGACAGGCTGCTGTGTACCCGCAGAGGAACGACGCCCTTACTGTATTTATTTGAGGTGACTCCTGCATTTGGCAAAGGGAAGTTTCACTGTGTGATTGTCTGTCTTAATATAATTTGTTAAATAAATGTTTGTTTTAACCTTTTCCCGGCTTGCTACTGTGATGCCTCCTGAGCGAGGTCAGCATCACCCCAGATGCTGGAGCTGCCGGCCGAGGGGACGGGGGCACAGGGCCACCACCGGGCCTCTCAGCCCTCTAGCAAGGCCTGGCAGGCTTCTTTGCACCCCGCTGAGTTGAGAGGCCTGGGTACGAGCCCCGGGAGTTCAGGAGGGCAAAGCAAGCCCTGCCGTTCTCTGGGAATAGCCCTCCGGAATGCCCCTTGCAGGCGAAGACGCCACAAAAGCACGTGAAACAGGTCACCCGCCAGGAATGCAGAGGTGCGGAGGGCCCGGGGCCCTGTCTGTACCGCGTGCAGGGCCGGGGGGCTGCTCAGGAGGACGCGCGGCCCCCGCGGCTTCAGTCCTGTCCTGACTGCTCACCTGCTTGAGAGACGCCACTCCCGACACCGGGGAGGGGACCAAAGGGCCGCGGGACACGGCCCGGGGTTCCTCACAGGCCCCGTCAGTTCAGGTTTCAGGATCAAAGCTCTCTGCCTCCTCCCGAAGTGACCTCTGCGTGTCTGGGCAAGACGTCACGGTCGGAGCTGTCTTTGCCTCGGGCCCTGTTTATGTCAGACTCCGAAAGGGGCCACCTTCCCTCATGAGGACCGTGAGATCCTCGGAAGTGTCTGCGCCTCCAGCCCTGGACCCCCACCTCTGGCCTCGCTGGGAAGAAAGGAAACGCAGCCCAGAGGATTCAGAGACACCCACGCGGCACACTCCATGTGGGGCTGGAGGAGCTGGAGTCGGATTCTGGCTCTGCCGTGCCTGACCGTGTGGCCTTCAGTTGGTCACCTACCACCCACAGAAGGGGGACCCTGCCTCCCTCCGTGGCTTGTCCGGGGAGAGGGGACGAGGATGCCCGCGGGGTACCGAGCACAGGCAGAGACCGCGGGCCTGGCTTCAGTGTTGCCATCCACACCGCGGAGTCCCTGCTAGAGCTGGGTCACCAGGGGAAGGAGGGCAAAGGCCTCCGGCATCCAGGACCCCGAGTCTAGTTGCAGGAGGCCTCGGGCTCTGCTCGGGAAGGCAGACGAGTGGATCCCCGGGGCCCAGGGGGAGGCACCTGGCCGGCCTTTGGGCAGCGAGAAACCAGAACCTACTCAGAGCAGCCTAGGCCCGGGCAGGGTTCGTGGCCAGACCCGATGCCCGTGTCTCCTGTTCTTGCCCGCACGGCCTCACCTGCCCCCCGCCTGGGCAGCTGCTTCCAGCCTCATACACTCTGGTCTTCCCTCCCGTGTGCTCTCTGTGCCAGCACACGTGGCGCACACACTCGTGTGTCCACACGGCCACTCCAGTTCGTGGATCTCCGTTCAAAAGATCCAAAGGCGAGAGTCCCAGGACAGACTCTGATTGGCCAGCCTGGGTCAGGTGACCCCTCCGGCCCCGGCAGCTCAGGCTGAGGGGATGGGGGGCAGGGGAGTGTGTGATCACAACATATCTAGAGCAGGTCTGGATTTATTCAGACCCTTGACAGGCATCTCCCCACTGACAGGGGAGCGCAAGCCTTGGGGGCAGCGGGAGGGGGGCAGCCCTTCCTGGGGAGATGGAGAAGTCCTCCATCAGCAGCTCTGTGCCATGGGGAGAAGCCCCCGAGGTGCGCGGAGCATCCTTCATCCTCCCATCCGTCTATCCGTCCGTCCCCTCCCACCAGGTGGGGGGAGCACCTTCCACGTGTAGGACCTCAGCCCACGTGTAGGATTCAGCAGGGACCCAACACCACTGTCATCCCTGTCCTCATGGAGCTGACTGTCTAGCCCGTCCCACTCCACCCCCCACATCCCCTCCACCATGTCTCTTCCACTTCTCCCCCTGCTTCTGCCTGTGTGTTCCCAGCCACCCTGGCTCATGGCTATAGCTCTGGGCTCCTCCCTGAGTCCCACCCTGACCTTTCCCTCTGGTTCTGTATCCTCCCCACTGCTGCCCAGGGCAGCCTGGGTCTTCAGTTGTGCTCGGCTTGGTCATAAGCCAATCTCCCTGAGCTCCAGCAGCCACCTGGGGGCGCCACCTCCGTGTCACACCTTGACCTCAGCTCATCCTCAGCGGAATGTACCATCTCCCCCCTCAAGACCCAAACGGCTCCCCTTCTCCTGACTCCCCATCCTGGAACAGCCCCCCCACCCTCCACCCCACCCCCCCGTCTCCTGCAGAGCTGCCTCTGCCACCACCTGGAGCCATCTGTGTTCACCCCATTTCCAGCTAGACAGTTCTCCCATCTAAATGTGCACCCAAACTCAGCCACTACTATTCTCTCTTCTTGCCTCTCCGTTCTCAATGCTGCCCCTTGACACTTTTCACCTCGATTACAGCCTGGGCCCCTTAACCATTCCGCCACCTCCAGGGTCTTCCTCTCCCCGCCATCGGCCTCGGAGCCACCTAACAGGGCTCCTCCACTTACAC